AAAAAACAATAACAGTTGACTGCTAATAACTACAAGTTTGTGAAAGCTTAAATTCGTACCTCAGTGTTATCCACCACAAGAAACAATTCCACAAATCTTGGCGTGTGAAATCGCTTTGTTTTCTAAGAGGATATATGAATGATTTCAAATGTATGCATCCTTTCTTTCATGTGCAGAACGCTTGCTAGAATTGTGATGGAAAATGTTATTACCGATCTGCTGGACTTTAAGGGGACAGCCACTGGTGGTTCATGGTCATAAATGGTGGTGCTCGGTTCACCACAAGAGCTTCTCTTCCACCTCAGATGTTCATGCTTATAAAGTGCATGGTCTCCATCACTATGGTTGGTCAGGGGCTCAATCAGGTATACTTGCTGTTTCACTCGAACAAAACCTCTATGGACAGATAACATAATGCTGCTTCTCAAGATCCTTCCTACAAACATGGAATCTAATACTTGTGCATTTCCATTAGAACATGTATGAAAAGCATCTTGTAATGAACTTGATGTAAAAGGAGCGTGCCATTGTCTCAAACCTGATTCCAGAGCAGATTCCCACACTGACTGAGGAATCTTCCAAATCCTGAATATGGCCATGATAGTAGCAGTTGTCCTACAAATGATTCAAAATTGATTGATTTTTATTTTCTGTGCTTAACTGATTATATTATACCCAGCTTAAATAAGAGAACTTCAGTCAGTCTGACATGACTTAAATGTTCAGAATAGAATACTAGCAGGAACTGCTGCACAATATGCGATATACAGTCAAACCAAAAATTATTCAGACACCAGATATCATTTTTGATATATTTTTTTACTAGTTGGTGCAGGACACTATAGTTCATTTATGTAAGTGAGGATAGCAAAATAAAGTAAACTGTGACATATTATACCCAAAAATTCTTCATACAGTGGACTACCAGTAAAATTGATAACAATTTGGGATCAAAAATGATTCAGACACTTTGACCTGACCATGTCAGCGTTATCTGACATTTTCTAAACTATAGCGAATAAACCGTGATAATGTGTGAAATGTTGAAGGTGTCTGAATACAATTTGACTGTATATATAGTATGGGACATACACTAGTATGCTGTTCTGATCATAGTTATTGTTAAATTACAGTAAAATTTAAGTTACCTTTAAATTTGGATTTCTGCTCACAATCAGTCTGACCTGACCATGTCAGCGTTATCTGACATTTTCTAAACTATAGCGAATAAACCGTGATAATGTGTGAAATGTTGAAGGTGTCTGAATACAATTTGACTGTATATATAGTATGGGACATACACTAGTATGCTGTTCTGATCATAGTTATTGTTAAATTACAGTAAAATTTAAGTTACCTTTAAATTTGGATTTCTGCTCACAATCAGTCCATCATCTTGATAATATATTTCAGAGTAATTATGTCCGATGAGTTGCCTAAATCACAGTAAATACTTCTTTAGGACTACCTTAGAGTACAATGGTGTATCTCATACGATTAAACATCGAAATGAAATGTACAGAAAAGACTTTGAAATATAATACACCCAAATGCAACACTCACCTGTTCTTTTCCAAATGAACGAGGTGATCTTTCCCTCCAAAGAATAATTTATATGCGAGTCTATCAGGATACGTCTCATGGCTTTGTGGACTTTTATCAGACTGTACCTGCAGAGGATTGATGTGTTAATGCACACATAAACAGCACAACCCAATGGTTGCTTTTATCCTAAAACTAAAAATTAGGTTTTATTCAAGCATATATTGTTGCTGTATAACAGTAAGATCCAGGTTGTAAATGGAGGTACCTTTTGTCTTTTAGGTCTCACCACATCAAACTGCTCTACATGAGGTAATGTACGCATACTCTCTGCCACACATCCTGATGAAGAATCAAAAGATATTTTTATATTTCATAAATGCACTATCCACACCACCACCCACAAAAGTTAACAGCATTCTATAAAAAGAAATAGGCTGCATAAGCCTAACTAGGGTCAACTTTACTGGCCCTAAATTACCTTAAAACATTTCTGATCTTCAAACTATCTGCAGCACAAAAAAATACCAAAAATGATATGTTCTATATTTTGAAAAAGTGCAAGATACTTTCCCTTATTTTACTTTTTAAATACTTCAGTTGATAAACCTACTTGGGACAAGTCCGAAGTACGAAAATTCTTGTTTATTAAACATTTTTCCGCATTTAAAATGAGGGTAAATAAGTAAATGCAATTAAAGGGACACAATAAAAAGTTACAAATATTCAAAATACATTTTTTTCTATCAAATTAACTTAAGGACAGAAAAGTTCCTCCATCACTATATACTGTTCTATGAGTATCATATTCGCAGGAATGTAAATAAATATAAATAAATTCATAAAATAGACCGGTTTAATCTTTGAGCGCAAATATATTTTTACATAAAGGAATATTATACATACCCCAAAGACAAAGACAGCAAAGTACATGAGCTGTGAAGGCAGAGTACGGCATGATTACTGCGCGTTATGGTCATAGACTGTTATGGTTCATGTCTACATGCCAAAAGATAAACTTGAGATCCGCCCAAGTGGGCCGCATTTTCACTTTATCAGGACAAACGCAAAAACAGAATAAAGAGGTAGAATGACCGATAGCATAGAACACAAAGAGGCGGGGCTTAGAGACGTCACGAGGGCTCGAAACAATCATTCTCGTAATTTGACAAAATTTATCTGTTGATTTTCAAATTCTATGACAATATGCCGTTTCTCAGTGTTATTATGTAGGTGTAAATTGTTGTCCTTACCTCAGCTGAAACAGATAACCGACGACGTTGTCACGTGGTAGCTAATACTTTTCTCAGCGCTGGTCTTGGCGAACCAATCACATTCGTTTGTGATTACAAGATAAAGGTTTATTATTATTATTATTATTATTATTATTATTATTTTCTATAGGCCACTGAGGTGAATTTTCATGTTTTGTGTTAGGTTACAATATTTGAAACTTACAGAATTAAATGATTTGAGTTTTTTTGTGTGCAAATCACGACCTGAGATTTGAATGTGCTTCAATGGAGCATTCAGTGATCTGGGCCTCCCTCCGAGGGCCCCTGCATGAACACAAGCGTGTTACCACCCAACGGGACAGACCGCAACATATCCCGTAACGACAATGACACATAACATTACAAGAAACACATGTTATGTATTAAAGCGTATGTTTTAGGCTACATTTAGTTATAGCTTTAGAGTTCGTTAATTTCATGCATATTCTAATTATTGTGCAGTATTGTATAATTAATGCATAAAGAGTGTTTTTAAATACAATATTTACACATTTAGAACTGGACAGTAATTTTCAGCGCTTAGTATTCCCAGAATTTACTGCTGCAATATTGGAATTAATGTTCAAATTAACCCAAATATCCTTCTTGACATATTAGTTCTTTCTTTCTTTCAAAATAAATGTCCCTAATGGAGGTTGAACACATTTTAACGCATATAATATTTAATTAATGACCTGATTGCACTTAGGCTACATTTTCTGTCAATGATATAATATTATAATTATATTACACATCATCAGCTTAGCAAATAAAATGAAAATTGATCATCCTGCCCGAGTTTGCGCTGCAACCTCTATTTCACTTGCATATCACAACCACTAGATGACAGATCATATGGCTGTATTTCACACAATGCTTATGTCTCATTCATACGGAAGTTCTAAGCGGCCATGCATTATTTTTTTCCCCTTCTTGTTTTCTCGTTATAACGACTTATTTTCTCGTTATATCGACATAACAAGAGTTGTTTTCTCGTTATAACGACTTAATTTTCTCGTTATATCGACATAACGAGAGTTGTTTTCTCGTTATAACGACTTAATTTTCTCGTTATATCGACATAACGAGAGTTGTTTTCTCGTTATAACGACTTAATTTTCTCGTTATATCGACATAACGAGAGTTGTTTTCTCGTTATAACGACTTAATTTTCTCGTTATATCGACATAACGAGAGTTGTTTTCTCGTTATAACGACTTAATTTCTCGTTATATCGACATAACGAGAGT